AAAAATTAGCCGGGCACGGTGGCGGGTGCCTGTGGTCCCAGCTACTCGGGAGGCTGAGGCAGGAGAATTGCTCGAACCCAGGAGGCGGAGGTTGCAGTGAGCCGAGACCGCGCCACTGCACTCCAGCCTGGCAACAGAGCTAGACTCTGTCTCAATAAAATAAAATAAAATAAAATAAAATAAAATAAAATAAAAAAATAAAATAAAATAAAATAAAATAAGAGTCCTGGCTACAGCCTTGACATTCCAGCCAACACATGTCCATCATTTCTAGTGCTAACAGACAGGACACATGTTCCTGAATGCGGATACAGTAGGTAAGGTATGGCCAGTCTGCAAACCATCGAGCATGCAAACACCACTGATACTTAACGGTGTCTAGAACCTACTGATACATAGCTGCGTGTCCCTAAGTTACCCTAGATAGACCTGGAGATCATCTGAGATTAAGTTGCACTTCTGTTAGGCCAGTAACACAGAACTTTTTGCAGATGATTAAGGAGATTTAATGCCTGAGGGTAAAGGAAAACCCATCTAACAAGGCTTTTGGAGGGTTCCTAATGGTCATGAGAAAATGGACAGAAGATTTGGTTAACTAAGCCTTGTGGGGTGTGGAGAAGATTCTTGCATTTTTTATTGTGGTATGACTGTAGGTCTAAAGAGGGTATAGGTTAAAAAAACCCATACTGAAGTATTTGTTTGTTTTGTAGATTTCTGAGAATGGCTAATTGCAAATGGTCCGTAACTGACTTTGGGAACCCACAGCTCATTTTCTGGCCCCTATTATTTTCCAGGCACATAAAGTGCTGGGAATGCAGCAATAAAACAGTCACTGCCCTCAGAGAACTCCTACATTTTATTGGTGGGAGACAGATAAATTATACTTTATTTAATTATACAGGATATATTATATCCTGTATAATTTATTCCACACTTTCCCCTTCTTATTCTATATAGGCTATGATATATCCTATATAATAAGGATGTATTATATCCTATATAGAATAAGAAGGGGAAAGTGTGGAAGAGTAAGCAGAGAGAGGTTTGTATTTCTAAATACAACGTTCAGTAAAGTGATGCCAAACTGAGAGAAAGAAGGAAGAGGATGTCTAAGGTAGAGGGTTACATGTAGAGGTATAGGAAGTACAAAGACCATGAGGCAGGAGCATACTTGGTGAACCGAAGAAGGTCACCATAGCTGAGTGAAGAAGAGAGTGGTAAGAGATTAGGACAGACAGATGGGGCAGGAGAGGGGGTCAGGAGCACGGGCAGGTGACCAGATCTTATAAGGCTTTGTAGGCCATTGCAAGGACTTGGGCTTTTAAACTTTGGAAAAAGAGCCATGGAGATTTTGAACAGAGGAGTGACATAATCTGACCTTTTAAAAGGATCGCTCTGCAGCTTTATGGTAAATAGTTGAATAAACTGTAGAGTGTAGCAAGGAAGGAAGCAAGAAGACCAGTTAGAAATCTATTTTAGCTATCCAAGCAAGAGAAAATGACTTGTGTGTGTTTTGTGTGTGTGGGGGGTTGGGGGGATGGGGGGGAGGTGGTATAGCAGGTGCTGAATTCTGGACTATTTTGAAGGTAGAGCCTACAGAATTGACTAGTGGAGAAAGGAGTCAAGGATGATTCCAAGGTTTTTGGCCTGAACGACCAGAAAGCACTGTCCAATAGAAATATTAAGTGCCATATAGGTCATTTAAAATTTTCAAGTAGCCACATCAAAAAAGTTTTTTAAATACAAAAACTAGTCAGGCGTGGTGGCACATATCTGTAGTCCCAACTACTCCAGAGGCTGAGGCAGGAGGATCGCTTCAACCTGGGAGGTGGAGGTTGCAGGGAACCCAGATCATGTCACTGCACTCCAGCGTGGATGACAGAGCGAGACTGTCTCAAAAAAAAAAAAAAAAGAAAGGTTTGAAAAAGGTAAAATTAATTTTAGCAATATAATTTACTTAACTCAATATATCCAAGACATCATTTCAACATACAACCAATAGAAAAAGTTATTTTATTTTATTTTATTTTACTTTTTGAAACAGGGTCTTGTTGTCACCCAGGCTGAAGTACAGTGATGCAATCATGGCTCACTGCAGCCTCAATCTCCTCCCTCAGCCTTCCTCATCCATCCCCAGTAGCTGGGATTACCAAATGCATTACATTTGGTAAAAATATTATTTCACAAAGCTTCTGTGTCTGTTACTTATGTTTTGGTGTACTGAGTCATATATTCTTACTGGAAGGATTATGGTTAAAAACAAGATTGAAAGTGATTGTTCTAGATTGCATGCTGTGTAAAATGATAATTCATGATTATGAAGTGGTGCCTGGTGTTGAATCCTAGCTCTACCACTAACTAGCTGTGAAGCTTTGGGTGGTACTCAACCTCTTTGGGCTTTGGTTTTTCCAACTGTAAAATGGGGATGAAAGTAGTATCTATTGTCAAGTAAATGAGGGCTTAGAACTGTGCCTGATAGAGACTAAGTACTAGTGTACAAACAAATGTTAGCAGAGTGAGGCCCTGACCATGTTGTGAAAACAGATCACATTTACGTTTGTCTTCAAGTTCTCCCTTTTCATGCCCCCTCCCACTTTCAGTCTCTCCTATGACTGTCTCATTACACTGCCCTCCTGTTGATCACTGTTCTCCAGGGCTCCAAAATTAGCCTTTCCTGCTGTCCTTCCTCCAGTAAAACTCTCACTTTAATGCCCAGTGTTGCAATTAGACATAAGGAGTAAAAGAGATCGATGACATCAATTCCTTTAGTAGTGATTTATTCTCATACAAATGCTTGAATTTTACAAGATTTGTAAATCCAAATGATCTTAATCTTGGAAATTTCATATTTTGAATGAAAATGAAGACTGTTAAGTAATGGAACCATGATTAATATGATGTGCCTCTAAGATTAATTTTACAAGCTACATAGTGTCCATTTTTAAAAAGTCACATTATTGTGCTATTTGTGAAGTTCTTGGAATGCCAATGAATTTGCAGTCTAGGGCTACAGTGGTGCCATGTGCAGCCTTCGTTTTAATGCACATTTGTCATGTGCCTGTCCTGTGCATGACAGTGATCTATATATACACAATAATCTCATGCTGTAGTTGTCAGGAGAAGGCTCGCCTTGAGGAACATCTGATGGATAACCTCAACTATTTGGCAGTGACTCTAGTGCTTTCTAAAACATTGATGTTAATGCATTTGGGGAGTGGGAGGAGGACTGTAGTTGGAAAAGACTTTCTCCAGGGTTGTGTGTATGTGTGTATGCTTTCTGAAAGGAAAAGAGTTATTTGGGTTATTATTTATAATTAGGTCCTAATCCTGTGACCTTGTGGATCTGAAATGGATGGGGCCGCCTTATATTTGGTTTTTATATTCTTTGGCATTTTCTGTGCACTTTATTTCATAGTGCACCATTATTATCATGTCATAATTTTACTTTGTAAAATTCGGAGTTCTGTTTTCAGAATCCCTTCCGAATTGAACCATTTATTCTGTACTTTTGAAATATCCAGATACAGTCAGTGAGAAGCGAAAGGGAAGCTGGGAAAAGAAATAGAGTTGAAGTTGAAGTGGAAGACTTGAATATAATGATATAGAGGTATGGAAAATTGGAGAGAGATCTTTTTAAAATGAGATAGAAAACAGACTTCAGAGGCAAACAAACCTTGGATTCGTTTTAATCACTCTGAATCACAGTTGATTCACCCATAACATGGAGAGAACAAGATCTCACTTGCAAGTTTGGCGTGAAGATTAGACGAAAAAATGAAAGCATTTGAAGCATCTATTCTAGCACTTAGCATATGGTAGACTTTTAATAATAGTTTTTTTTTTTTTTTTTTTTTTTTAAAGAAGGGGTTACATCTAGTTGTCCTTGCTGGGTTAAAGATGGTAGTCAGACAAATCAGATGAAGAGGAGGTTCCCAGTGCATGGCAGAGGCCAAAGGTTTCAGAAAGTTTCTTACTTTG